AGCTGTCACACTGTTTGATGCGGTATACAGTACAACAGGCTGACGATGTGAAGCTGTCACACTGTTTGATGCGGTATACAGTACAACAGGCTGACAGTAGAGTACACGTGAACCCTAAATGAACTAAACTTTACATTATTGCGATTTTCATGTGAAATAGGATTACCGGATGCAAACATTACCACGATGCATCTGTGACCCGATATTTGCAGTGTCTGATTTGATAAATTGACTGTACAGAAGATGTTAACAAATTTATTTTTGTGTCGGATTTACATCCCAAATATGATACGTAAAGATGCCGTTGTTGGATAAAGATCTGTTACTTAGGACCCCCATTCATGTCTAGATTATTCTGTGAACAGAAGTTATTTTGTTTACTTCTTTAAGTTGACATTTAAATCACACTTGTATAAAATGTGGATTCTATATGTCACTTATATATGCACCCCATCCCCACCCCACCTCACCCCACCCCACCCTACCCCACCCCAGCTATCCCTTAGTTTTGATCCTTATTGTCGTTCATGTCTTGTAGTTTTATGCCATTTTCTATGATGATATTGTTAAACATGACATAATGAACCCCTGTGTGGGTAACATATTCCCCCGTTGAGACAGCCGAAATAATATTTCCTCAATTTCCATTTGCGAGTAGAGTTTAAAAATGGCCTGCAAAAAAATGTTGATTTAAATCAAAACATTCCAGAACGCGTGGTTAAATATATTCTCCCACTATCCCAGCCAATCAGTAAAAATAATACCGCACCATAATTGCATGATCTTAGTTGAACCAATCAGAATCACATAAAGCGATATTTTAGCGTGTGGTAATATTAAAAATATGAAAATGCAAATACTATAGGAACTCCATACCTTCTATTTGATAAATTCATTTAAGAAGGATGAGGTCCAATAATATCGTTTATAGAGGACATATTCATTACCTACCCACAAACACATACCACCTAAGGACTAATATCTTAAAATATAAATCCAACAGTGAAATACAGAGAAAATAATGAATTATGGACGACGAGAGTAGAACGGTCACCGACTTATATATGAAACAATATTCGTTACCTGGGGGGATGGGAGTAAAACGCATTGAGATCGATTTTCATCGGTCGTAACTTAAGAATACTTTTTCACACAAAAAAAGCAATCAAATAAGTCGACAAGGCATAAATCAAAAGTCATTAATTTAAATATTACGAATCTTTCTTCTTACAATTTAATTACAATAAATTGCAAGTAGAGGCTACAATTATTGCATTGACAAATCTGTACATAAAAAAATAGGTCAGTGTTTTTTCCCTGGGAGCTGTCAGTAAAAAAGTGGTTTAAGTGAGACCCAGTCTGAACTCAGTCTGAAAGGGTTTCTCAAATTTATTTTATACCAAAATAATACTTCTGCAGCTTCCCATAGCTTAGGGTCTTGATATGTCTGAATCCCGCAATGGAGGAAATAATTAATACAAAACAACAGTTTTTCAGTAAATATAATTTTAAGATTAAATATTCACATACATTACATATCTTTAACCCGTCAACAGACTAATAGTAAAAAATTAAAATAATAAAGTGTTACCAGTTAGCTTAAATCCAGTGAAAGATCACATTGAATGCAGTATAATTGTCTCAACAAAATCGCATCTCCATTTCCGCCAAAGAAACTCTGCAAGTTAAAACCTACAGTTCCTCTATCGTATGTGTAAAGTTTAGTTGCCGTTATTAAATTAGAAAAAGGAATTAAAACAAATATACCATGTACTATAAATGTGCTCAAGAGAAATTATAATTCGGAATAAATATTTTATTCAGCAAACAGTTTTACGTGTCTTAAGACTTAAACCAAAGGAAATAAGGTGGCAATAAACGTGGGACAAACCGTTGCCACGTTTACATGTGGGACTGCAGGATGTGAAATGTTAAAAAGAAGTACTATGCATCGTAAGGTACAACAAAATAGGGCTTCGTTTATTTGCCATTCAAGTGATGGTGCTTACCCTGTCGAACATGATTTCATTGTATTATTGATTTAACCCTAGAAAGCGATTTTCCAACGTTTTGTTTCAGTTTTAATTTTGCTTTCTTGAAAATTCAATGTTAACAGCTTTCGAAATGTTATACCTTTACCTAAGGTCATTGTTGTTTCACAAATTCAAATGGATACAGATTCAGTTAACACAAATGCATACCGATGTTAGCGTGTAGTCCAATCAGTAACATGTACAAATTCACACTTTTCAAAATTTTGCGTAATCATCTTAATAGAATTTAAAGTACTGCAACAAAAAAGTTTCCAAATGACTATATCTCATTTCAGATATTTATATTATGTGTACGGTAAACTTTACGCACGTCATTATTACAAAAATTGAACATATCTATTGCAAAATCGATGCACCAGCTAAAACAGACAGCTGCGTCTTTTTTATGAAAGCGTTTAGAATTTTGCATAATTTGTTTAGATATCTCTGACTATATAATGATATAGGTACATAACTCTACAGCTGGCTAATTGTCTTTCTGTTTGTCCGTTTACATACTTGATGAAGGAGCCCCGAGAGACCGAGTAGTTCGAAGTGCTCTCTGTTACGTATGACTGCCATCTCACCTATGTCTGCATGTGTTTGAATCTAAAATTCATTAAAAACAACATGGGAAGAGCCAATAAATGTTTACTTGATGTGAAGCATACATTGTAGTTACAAACATGATAAAGTTATTTAAGGTCACTTTTCAAACTGGACCATTAGATATTTGAAGATCTGACAGAATAATTTATATAGCATGCTGTGATTGATGAAGCAGGTGAAGATTTATTATTTACTCGTCAAAAACAACGTGTTAATATTGACTGGCAACAAACATGTTAATATTGATTGGCAACAAACTAAGTTTTAAGCTTGATCTTTTAAACACGATATCATATATTTTAATTTACAAAATAATCATTCCGACATATAAAAGAGGTAACTAACCAAAAAGGCAATCAGTTTAATCGTAACATTGGGCAATGTATTTTCAGGTAGATGACATGTTTTGCAAATGCACAATATCGGTACAAAGGCTTTCGGTAATGAACACAGCATGCAATCTCGAATTCAGCGATATATAATGATAAACAGTGACTTAACAAATCGATTCTGACTTGCAGAATGTAACCATTTTCTGGAATATTTTTAATATTCTCTGTTACCCGTTGCAACCACTTGTATTTCCAGATATGTATATATGTATGTTTACCTCTTCCAAAACTTAGAATGACAGAGCTCTAATGACATGTTTCTACTTTATCCCCAAAAGCATATGCTTCTTTAATCATATATATATATATATATATATATATATATATATATATATATATATATATATATATATATATATATATATATATATATATATATATATATATATATATATATATATATATATATATATATATATATAAACACTTTAGTATACTAGATATATTATAAATATGCAAAAATGTATAGAAGAAAAGCAAACTCAAACAATGAATTATAACGCGGCGGAATTGTCAATGGATCTGGTCTAACGCTATAAAGTAAGAACACCTACATTGTGTAATTGACAAGCATATGAAATTCACTTGTGATTATTTGAATGTTATTTCTCAAATTAAGGGAAAATTGCGACGTTAACTCAAAAAGATTTGTACGCTTGTACCATAAAATTTGTTTGTTCGGGGTTTGAGTATTTCAGAATTATACCTAGTCCGTAAGAAGACATGCTATATGTCTAGATGAAAACATGCGTGTACTTCCAGGTCAATTGATGATTAATGTAACTATTAAAAAGAAAATAAAAATACTGGACCTTCAAATAATTGCAGCGAGTTCTACTTAATTTTGTCACTTTTTGCAGTGGCATAAATTTAGACTTTTATTTCAGTGAATGTTCACACTGTATCATATTGCTGAAAATCTCCTCGCTTTGAATTAGGACACGGCTTTTATTTTCCTTTCTTCAATGAAAATATTATGGGTATAATGATTTTAGTGATATATAAGGGTGTGTGCAATATTTGAGTCACCATATACAATACGTTTGATAATTGGACAATATTATCTAGGCTTGCTTTATATTTTACTGATAGATAGGTATACTTCATCCTTGTTTCAATTCATTTTCCCTTCCGCATGCTATATTTTTCCATGCTTCGTTAGTTCGAGTATGTCACTGTAGCTCAATGATAATCGTAATCCATACATCGCGGGTTCGATTCCCCATCACACCATCCAAAGTTGGCTGTGTCCTTGAGAAAAACACTTTGATCCCATTTCATCGGCATAATATAGAGAATAACATGCTACAAGGACCTTTAGAAAACAAACCAATTAACCAAAAAACAGCTAAATCAAAACGGCCAACCAAGCAACCAACCAACCAAAATTTCTGCTCAAGTTGATAACTATTAGATTTGTAGGCTAAAGAAAGAGAATAAAGGATGCGATTTAAAGTAAATGATTAAAGGAATGTTGTCAGTGGGAGTGGTAATCAATTGTAAGGGGAGCGGTATTATATTTAAAATGTGACATCAAACCCCAATCAACCGATAGCATTGGTCGAATTGATAAGCACTATCTTTTCTAATAAATTACAAATGGATAAAAGTTGAAATTTTAAGTAAATTATTAAATATATAGTGCACATTATCGATCGTTACTAGGATTTTCAACCGCGGTTTAAACTTGGCATTAAGTTGAAATGATTTTACTACTTGATTATCTTTTTTGCTAAATAAAGTTCAATGCGTGTATGTGTATGTGTGTGTGTGCGTGTGTGTGATTTAGATTTATATACAGTATATGGTGATGTGTATGACTGGGACATCATGCCCCAGACAAGTAACACGATATCCCAACCAGTCAAATTATCCTATCGTTAGACCCACAAGTCTTAGCACTAACTTCTTAATGCTGAGCACATTGGGATGCACCTGTTTGTACCATTCATATACGTCTTAGGTATAACTCATTCGGGATTTGAACCCGTAACTTTCCACATTCGAGACGGACACCCTAACCATTAGGACACCGGAGCGGTATTCGCTGTGTTGTCAGTTAATTCGAATGCGTATTTTTTTTTTAAAACACTGTTTGAGACTATGTTACATTTGAATAATTCAGTTGAATTTTTCCCGGTTCTAAAATATCAGCACAATCTTTTCTTCCATCTCTTTCGGTATGGCTACTGCTTTTTTATTAATACTTTCTAATTTCATTGGAAATGTTATCCGTTAAGCTTATAAACAAATATATCTAATAATCCTATTTTACCAGCTTTGGGTATATGATTTCTAAAATCCTAGAGAAATTTACACCGTAGACCCAAAAGATTGGTATAATTGTACCATATATTTTTTTTTTTTTTGGATTTGTTTATTTCAGAATTATACCGCGTCCATAAGAAGACGTGAATATTGGTATAGACCAGGACATGCAAGCTCAATTGGATGATTAATGTAATTATTAAAAAGAAAGAAAATTGCCATAACATTAAGACAGTTGTAGCGAGTTCTACTTCATTTTCTCTCATTTTGTAGTGGCAGAAATATATACTTATGTATTTAATTGCATGTTCACACTCCGCCAAATTTTTAAAATAAAAGGAAAACAATAAGTGTCAAATAGATTTTGATGATGTAATGGAGCGATGCGTTTAATAACTGATAGGTGATACATTTAATAACTCATATGTGATACGTGTAATAACTGAACTAAATTATTTAGGCTTGTTTCATATTGTACAAACAGAAACGTATGCATCACCCTTGTTGTCATTCATTGTCCATTCCATATGCTATATTTTGCCATACTTCGTTCGTTACAATAAACCGCTAGAACTCAATTTTTTATCGTAATACAAACGTCGCAGGTTCAATTCCCGACCATGTCGTCCTAGGTTGGCTTTGTGGCCTTGATAAAAACACATTAATCTCATTTCCTTAATATGATATAGCAAATAATATGTTTATTTAAAGTAATTTACAAAGGAAACAACCAAACAAACAAATAAAAAAATAAACAACCAACCAATCAATAAACCAGACCACATATCTTGCTGAAGCTAATAACCATAAATTTAGTAAAATGTCAAGAGAGTAAAAAAGGATGCAATTTAACGTTAACTATACAGAGTGTGTTGTCAAGGGGAGTGGTAAACAATTGTAGCGATATTCTGAATTACAAGGTGCCATTAAAACCTAATTTATCGATTGTATTTGGTCGAGTGACAAGCATCCTCTTTGTAATATATCGCAAGAAAATGAAATTTGAAACTTCAACGTAAATTATTACAGATTAAGATCATTATTTCAGTTTCTTTCACCTTGAGTGTTGCCTTGATCGTTTAAAAAGTTTACCAACAAAATAAAAGAAGGGAAAACGTCCAGAGCAAAGACGTGGGTATTTGAAGAAAGTGAGTAAGTGGGTATCGGTCATGCTCAATTGCAATATTTTATATGACATTCTTATTTGATAGAAAGCACCCAAATAATGCTCAGGCATTTAAATAACTGTATTCTTTCTGCATCAGATGGAGTGAACAATATTTGAGTCTCCATATATAGCGCATTTAATATTTATACTGTTTTTGGATTCCACTCATACTGTGCCGACATAAACATATACATTACTCATACTGACACATAATATTATGTTCCATATGTTACATTTTATGATGAATCCGTTGTTTAAGTAATCTACTGTAGCACAGGACATATAATGCAATGAATTATACATGTGTTTTCATATGTGAGTATTAAACACATGTAAGAGCAGCCATGCGATTGAATAATGCCATTGAAACCAGTCAACTGATAGTATTTGCTCGAATCGATTTAGCTTTCTGAATATATTACAAGAGTAGAAATGTTCAAACCTTAAATTAATTATAATATTTAGAATTCATCTAATAGCGCAGTGCACCTGAAAGTAGATACTTTAGAGTTATTAGCGAAATCATAAATGGTAAGGTCAATAGTGAAGTATCAACATTCATAAAGATATCAAAGACAGATTAGAATGTGCTGCCAAGGAGGCAGAGGCCCATTTTTGCAAGGACATCTATACGTCTTTGGAAAGTTAGACCTTTTAGACTGTGTTTTAGTGTGATCAAAAAATGTACAGTCCACAAAATTCTTCAATAGTACTTTGCAATTTTATTTCATGTTGAAAACCAACTTTACGTTTTCTCATACAGTTTCTTATTCTTGTCATAAGTAAGACTGTAAACCAATTTATGTTGTTATCCTATTGTGTCCAGAATTATGAGAAACAAGGAAGATTTTGTATGCATCATTTTGATTTTGTTGATTGAATATGCCCTTTCACAAGATAAATGCGAAAGAGGACCATGTCTTGGACAGTTCACTTTTGGACATTTTCTTCCGCGCTCCGTTTTTACTACAAAATACGAAGTGAGCCCGTATCAGTGCGTCATTGAGTGTCTGCTTAGAAAACAAAGATGTAAATCTTTCAACTACAGAAGGTCTGCCCTTTCGTGCCAATTGTGCGAGGAAGATTCCGGACCAGGAGGAATAAATCTACAGCCCAAAGCTGGCTTGGATCACAGCAATATAAACACCTGGAGAAACGTGAGTAAAATATACCACTTTTTAGGATATTGTTTAATAAACCTTTGTGTTGTCATTTTGGACGAGGTATATAGGTTGCATGCACGATGCTTTCAGAAGCCGATTATCACCGTGCATTCGTGATTTTGTCAGCAGTAATTCAGCACATTTGTTCATTGTCATAATCAGATTCTAATTCGTGTCATATCTGCATTCAAAGCTCTGAACGTTTATTCACTTAAATTTCGATATGAATTATAACATACTTTGTTAATTATGGGCATTTAACACTGTCTGATTCTTTCATAACGTGTTACGATTGAACGGCCATAAAAAATATATTTCCGCTAAAGTTCATTATACTTCAGCAGAGTCTAGACCAAACCTTTACTAATAAGCTTCACTCTGCAGCTTGATATAAAATATCTTGCTGGCAGTGAACTAATAAAAGTTTTTTAATACCTCAAATATGGAAAACTTACGGTTTTATTATGATCATCGGTACATCTGATTTGTTTAGTCGGCTAGACGATTTGGCATATACCCCTCCGTTTTCCACACTAATGCCAGGGAGGTCTTGCAATCAATGAAACGTTTAAGAAAATCGATTTAATAACTGTTTTAATTAGCTTTATTTCCAATAAAGTAAAATCTAAACTCCAATGAATTTCATGAGTTTTCTGCAGCAAGTATCCAAAATATTTCGCGAAGTCATTGAAATTTCGAGTGTTTTGAATACAAATATTCAAAGAAATGGTTTAATTTTATTAACATATATGTAACCGTGTTTTATAAGAATTAAAAGTATATTTTTCACTCTGCATAAGTAACGTAACACACATGTACACACATGGAAAGTAAGGCACATGTTGCGTATGTAATATTACAACCTTCTTTCAATGAATGGATGGATTCCTCAAGCAATAACAAAATTTGATCAGTCAGTTGTGATCCCATTTATAATGCAACAATAAATAAACCAAATTAGGCTACAAGCTCACACTTCAACCTTCTAGTTTGAAACATTATATTCAACTTTTTTTCTTTTTCTCAACAGAAAAGATATAAAATCCACAATAAATGGATAAATTCCCCATGTATAGCATGGATTGACTGCCTCGTCTGAGATCTCGTTATATCACAAAAACATAACATATTTTAGTTAAATATATTTTCTTAATAACGTTTTGTTATGATGAAAGTTTTTTTAGTATATTCCAAGTAAATTGAGTGTAGCCACTAAAATTAAATACAGATCCAATGGAATATCAATGTTGGAATCCTTACATGTTATTTAAATTTTCAATGTTTTTACGTAGAAAAAAGAACAATATAATACAGTTACTGTATTGCCCAAAACAAAACTGAACGCATTGTACATCGTCATAAAAAAAATGTTAAAAATTTTAATCTAAATTGTTTGAAAGTTACATATAGCATTACTATAGTTCAAGAGTTGTAGCCTTTCACGAATTTCACAAACCGTATTTAATTCAGCCCAAAATAGATTTTCAAAATATTTTTCTTCATAGGTCTTGACATTCGTTGGTTAAAAATATTAAACATTGAGCTATGATTAGAGCGCAAATGGAAGCCATAATATTGTGAATTCAAATAAATAAAATGTTTTATCATCAGAAATCTTAGTTTATTTGAGACTTTCAACAAGTCCTTTATCAAATATAAGAAATATTCCTAAGTGTGCATTTTCTTCATTCTTCCTATACCTTTGAATATATTGAGAAGATGGTCCAGTGAATCATTAATCAAATACCTTGATATAAACATTGTAAAATAATGATAAATATATTCGCTATTGGGACAATTTTTTTAAAAAATAACACAATAAATGCGTCACAATAAAGTTAATTATAAATTTATAATGCATTTGAAAATTCAATCGATCGAGTAATTTCATAGATATGCTAGGAATATAGAAATAATATTATAAAAAGGTGGTATAAGATCTTACGGGCTGTACACAAACACTAGGTGTTATACGAGAACACTATCCAAAAACACCATGTAAACACTAGGTGTTATACGAGAACACTATCCAAAAACACCATGTAAACAATAGGTGTTATACGAGAACACTATCCAAAAACACCATGTAAACAATAGGTGTTATACGAGAACACTATCCAAAAACATCATGTAAACACTAGGTGTTATACGAGAACACTATCCAAAAACACCATGTAAACACTAGGTGTTATACGAGAACACTATCCAAAAACACCATGTAAACAATAGGTGTTATACGAAACACTATATAAAACACTATACATACGGCGCGATAAGAAAACAGTAGATGTTAAGCGAAACCTTAGAAACAAAAATAAAACATTATAAATACATTAGATTTTATTTCAAATGTTGCTATCTTGAGACAACCGATATGTCATACAAGGCAGAGATTTCAAATTGTCTTGATGTATTCTGTGAAAACTAAATGGCATATGAGA